GAAATAGTTCAGAAAAGAAATAATTTCTTCCCGTGTAAGCTAATGGTCAGTAGATATATATGATTAAAACTAACAAATTGTAAAAAAAAACCAACCCACTGCAGCGTACATATTTAAAATGAAAAAAGATCGGTCTGAAAATAAACTGTCAATTTCAAACAGCAACGAACTACAACGTTTTTAGGGTGAATAAACTGTTGACACAGAGATATGTCTCGCCTTTTTGTAATTTTGATAGTATGATGCAATAAAGAGCTGCGCCATGATCGCATGATACGCCCGTCGCATTTCAAAGAATAAAGTTCCATAACTTCTCAATGGCATATCAGAAATTTAAAAAAAAACTAAAGGGAGGTTATTTCAAAAGATATAAACCAGTCACAAAAAGTTTCATAAAAAATGCTCAAAGCGCATTTTTTGAGTTATTGTTCGAAGAACCGGGAAATCTTCCTTTTTTAATGAATAAAACCCCACAACTCGGAAAAGTAAAATCTAAAATTTATAAAAATCGAAAGGGAGCTCACGTCAATAGATATAAATTCACCAAAGTTTCATGCAAATTGGTCAAAGCGTTTTTGAGTTATTGTCCAACATGTTGACGACGGACGGACGGACAGACGGACTGACGGGCAGACGGACGGAATGACGGACAACGGTATACGATAATACGAAATTACGATAAAAATTGAGATTAAATTGGCAATATTATTGCAAATACTCCATGGAAATGAGAAATGTCAATGTTATTAGAACATGTTCCCTTTAAACAAACATAAACATACACTTTTACTTTAAAACTATGCACAAGTTTCAAAGTCAATGAACCACGACGAGGGGCGAGGCGAATATCCATGGAAATGAGACTTGCAAATGCTAATACGACTGCTTATAACCAAATATCATTGACTTTACATATGTGGATCATCTTTAACATCATAAATTAAGCAAAAGTTTCAAGGTCAATAGACCATGACTGAGGGGCGGGACGAAATAATTTCCATGGAAATAAGATGTGCCAATCCTAATACATCTGCATACCAAATAGCATAAACCTACAACTAGCCTAAATGTTACAATATGACATTCAGTAATGCTGAAACTCTGTTAGAAGTAAAGCTATAGTTCGTCTTAAAGATACTTGTTATTTTCATTTTCTTTTCCTCTTAAAATATTTTTTTTTATAATCACTAGTAACTTGAATTTTTGTCGGTGTCGGTACGACACAAAATTAAGCGACGACAAACAATAGCGTTTCTGCTCTTAATTACACAATACGTTCATTAAAGTATCAAAACTGACATAAAACACATGTTTAAAATTCATATTGATTATTACGGGTACGGGGCTTTACAGTTTTAGACTCAAAACACGATTTCCGAAGATATATGTACTATCTCTTTGGTTAATGATGAGAATATAACTATTCCCGATAAATTTGTCTTCGGGTGCTTTGTATCCTCTAAATTTTTAAAACATTTCGCCTTGTAATTTTAGTGAATTTTGGAACATTTGTCGATTAAATAAAAGACTGCATTATTCAATGTTTCAATCTCATATAATCCAAAGAAATTAATTTACAGAAGACCTTCGAAACATCATTCCTGCCAAGTTTGGTTACCAAACTTTGCAGAGTAGATTTAGAGATGATGTTGAAAATGAGACGTCTCGTATGGTGTGAACTATATGCCTCCAATGTCGTCATGTTTGTCAATTGATCGATATTAAATGAGACTCATAAATATAGAGGGTCTTCCAATCATAAACCTTTTTAAAGTTTGAGATCATTTCGCCAAGTAGTTTTTGGAAATGATATTTAACTCCAATCAAATCAACAGAAAGTCGATTGTAATGAATTCCTGCTAAATTGGATATGAACTTTAAGAAATGTGGAAAATTTACGGACGACGACGGACGCCAAGTGTTGTTATACTTTTATTTTACATAAAATTTGTAGCGAGTCTTTCAATCATAAATCTTTTAAAGTTTTACATTTTACCAAGCAATTTTGGAATTTTTTTTGAACAAATTGGCCAATCAAAATCAAAATTGTTTTTCATTCAACCAAATTAATTGAAAGTCGATTGTAGAAGACCTTTTGTACACTTTTCCTGCTAAAGTGGATAGGATAATTAAAGTTTAGAATATTTCGCCCAGTAGTTTCCGTTAGATTTTTTTTAAATTTCAAAATCAAAGTGTTTTTTATCCAATCAAATGCTAAATTGGATATGAAATTTAAGTTTTACAGACGACGACGGACGCCAAGTGATGGTTAAAATATTATATTGCATTACATTTATGACAAAAATACTATATAAATTTGTCATTCTTCTTTCTTCCAGGCCTTAACAAGTTAAAAGAGTGCATGAAAATGGTCCTAAATCTTTAAAATATTTACCATTGAAAACGGCACATTTTTTTTTTCAATTTCCAAAAATCAAAATTAAGCTAAACATTCAAGATGATGTAAATGATGCTCATCGACTGCTGTTTTAAACAGTAAAGAAAATACAGAATTAACAGACTAAAATATATCGCCTGATTTACTGATCTTGTTTATGGTTAATGTTGAAAGTCTTCAAAAGATAAAGGTTCTACTTCAGGTATTATATCGACTAAACATTATCAATGGACTGGGGTCATGGGAATGCGGTTAAGGTCAGGTGAACCCTGCCAGACGTACATGTACAATCTATACACCAAGTACACACACATATATATATATGTATATATAGTTGACCAATTTCTAAATTTATCTTAGAAAAGTACCTATCCACGAAAACTTACCCTTAATCACTGATCCATTAAATTATGTCATTGTAAGTTGAACCCGGTCTTAAGTAACAAATATAGTTGTCATATTTCACTCATAAGAAGTGAGAAAATCACGTGATGAAAAATATTTTTTTTGGGCATTAGCTGAACTATGAAAATGAGGTCAAGGACACCAGACATACATACGCCAGACGCAAACTTAGTACCATTACGCACCTGCATTCAATTATCGAAGTGTTTTTTACCTTCTGTAAAATAAAGCTTGAAACAAATAGTTTACTTGTCTATTTCTCGCATTCTGCAACATTATAGTTACAGCGAGATACAAAGCTCTCGAAACAACAGATGATCTAAGGGTTTTAAGGACAAGTTATTCATATATGTATGTATGTTAACTCCTCTCAATTGATAAAATTGTTAAATGTTCATCAGCAGGATAACTATTTTAAGCGTGCTTTCAGTAACTGCTAATAGTTTACTGATTTTTTAAATTCAAAGTTACAAAACAATAATTTAACCCCGCCAAATATCCATGTGTCTGTCCCAAGCCAGGAACCTTCAAAAGTAATGTTCTTATTTCTCCATATTTTGTGTTTCTATCAGGATAATTTGGTGTTGATGATAGATCGTCGATTGTTTCTGTTGAATTCATTCACAACTAATTAAAAATAGACTCGGACAGTTTTAGAGCTTGCCATATTGTGTATAAGCAAGTCTAATGTTAAGGACTACGTTGTCCTCTAGGTGAATTTTGATTGTATTTGTCGTTATGTTGCTGTCTAATGGACGACTTCCCACAGAGTTTATATAAGATATCTTTATCCCAAATTCAAAGACATGACAGTTGGAAAACAACAACTTTCAATTATATAGATGTTATTTAGTTTATCTGATGTTCATTAAATGACCAAATTTAAGTTTCAACAGAAGGAATTGACAAATATGGCCATGTTTACACCACAACATTTACTTTTGAGTTCAGACAAACTTGTGCACCTAGAAAAGTTTTAAGGAACGACAGGAACTAGCTAAATAAATTTTAAATGCATTGTATGTTTATGAAAATTAAACACTTTTGGGGAAGTTGATTTTTTTTCCGTTCCCACAGGATTTGCCAAAATGAACCAAGTTGAGAAAATGCTTCAGATATGTCCCTTGTGTTTTACATTGGATTGAAATGCTTTTATTGGCATGGCCAATAGATATCGCACAACTAATTTAAACTTCTTTAATGGTGGAACGTATGAAATGAAATTCAGGTGTTATTTTACCACCTTCTGCAGACTTGAAAAAAAAGAACTTTAGATTCAAGGAGTTTTTTCTCTGAAATACGAAATGCATTTAAATGTCATTAACCTAGTTCCTATTATGCCTTAAAATGTCCTGGTACACAGGTTTGTCTGTACTCAGGGATGTAAACACGGCCAAATTTTTCAATTCCTTCTGATAAACCTTAACTTATTTTTCTATAAACTGTTGACACAGAGATATGTCTCGCCTGTATATCATTTTAATAGTAAAATGCTAAATTTTGAATTAAAATAGCCATGCTTTAATATGCACAATTTGCAGTTTATTAAAAGTCAATAAACCATGACTGAAGGTAAAGGGCCAAATAATTTCCGTGGAAATAATATATGCCAATGCTACTGATACAACTGCATACCAAATATGATTGGCTTATCAGAAGTAGTTCCCCATTAAACTGACATAATCACAAACTTTACATGTAAACTATGCATAAGTTTCAAAGTCAACAGACCATGACTGAAAGGCAGGGCCAAATAATATCCATGGAAACGAGATGTGCCAATTACTTATACAACTGCATACCAAATACCATTAATTTACAATTAGTGGTTCCCCTTAAACTGAACTAATACAAACTTAACAGTACCACATTTCCTTATTTTAATATTATATGCAAAAGTTTCAAAGTCAATAGATCATGACTGAGAGGCAGGGCCAAATAATCTCCATGGAAACGAGATGTACCCATGTTTATACAACTGCATACCAAATATCATTGATTTATCATTACTAGTTCCCCTTAAACTGACCTATCAAAAACTTTAACGAATTGTTGACGCCGCCACCGACGCCACCGGAAACATCATACCAAAGTCTCGCTTTTTACTCCGTCGAGGCGAGACAATAAAATGTTGCCAAGACTTCACCATTCACTACCATGTAATGAATGTGAATAATACCAAAATAAAAATTGTATCTAGAATTTCAACAAAATGTAATCTTATATGCAGAAGTAATATTTAACATATATACAAACTAAAATGTCATATTGTTAACAGTGGTATCTGATCAATGTTAATCCCGGATATAATAATTATACATAAAATGAAACCATTAGCACTAATATAAACGAATATGTTTATGTTTTTGTATATATTATGACATATATTTGTATTCCACCAAAGACACTTGAATTATTGTACATCGTTCCTATCGTACGTATCATGTGTATAATGTACTGTAAATACGGACCAGTCAAAAGGATAATATAATTAATCGTTAGATCATCAAGTTTCTTTTCTATAACTAAATTGTCTTTCCTGGTCACCAACCTTTTTGTGTGAAATATAATTTTAGAAAACATATTTCTTTTTGATTATTGTAGAAACAAATATACTATTATACAAAGCTTATGAGTGCTGTTTAGTACATTGTGAAATCAGGTTCATTTAACCGCTCTTCTGCTTGAGCATCATTCAGTTCATAGGCTGTAGGATAATACTCTTGCTTTTTACCTCTAGACGTGCGATGTTCTTCTTGCATTCGCCGGGAAAACGATTTTTCATTCAAAAATTGGTTTTTCTCCCTTCGAAAGTCACGTGGTGGTTTATGTGGGTAGAAATAGTATCCATCTGTTGGATATGCTCCTTGTGGTATTTCTGATGCATATCCTCCCATTACGCTACCACTTTCCATCGATATATCCTCTTTTCCATACGGATAATGCGGACCTCCTCCACGGAAATGGCTTTTTTCTTTTTTCTTATTTTTCTTTTGTTTCTTATTTGCCTTACGGTCTTTTGATGTATATCGAAGATGAGGAGGGACAGAACTAGAACGAGGCGGATAACGTGCCATTTCCGGTGGCATGTAAGGATTAAATGATTGTGGCTGATACATGTAGTAGGGACGATAGCCGCTATACATCATTCTAGGTGGACTTCTTTCGATTTTATCGCGGTTTTTGCGATTACGTCGCTTTTCATATTCCTCTCGACGACTCATACGCTCCTTTCGTGGAGAATCAACATCAGCATTAACATATTCGTAATCACGAGGTGGTGTTCTAGGTCTAAATAAATCATCACTTTCACTGTCAAAATCTCCGTTTGGAATCCTTTTCCTTTCAGTCTCTTCGTGGTCTCTCGGAGATTTATGACTCGAGTGTCGACTGTCAGAAGACTTCGAATGCGGCGACTCCGATTCCTTCCTTTTTGGTCGTCGTCGTTTAACAAATTGAGGATACATTGGATATTGATATGGATAAGGGTAGGGTGGTGCTCGCATAGACGGTTGAGGAGAGAAAAATCGTGGTCTTGTCATCGGCGGCGGCGGCGGCGGATAATACATCGGTTTCATGTAGGATGGTGGAGGTGGATAGAACGGTGCTCCAAAATTGCGTGGCATATACCCTCGAGGCCTGCCTAATGGTGGTGGTGGTATACCATTTTCTTGGTGTAAAGGTCTTTCAGGCTGACTTCTTGCTGATAGTGCTTCAGTGGGTCGATCCTGCGGTGGAGGCTGAGCTTCTATTATAGGCGGTTGTTGAGGTGGCGGTGGTGGCGGTGGAACTGGAGCTGGTTCCACTGGCGGTGATGGTGGCGATGGAGGCGGAGGAATGTCTGCTGGCTGTACAAAGGAGTTCGAAACTCGAGATCGAGCAGAAATAGGCGGTTCTTTCTTTTCTATTTTAAAACTCTTGGCCTGAACATTATTTGGACGATAAAAATATCCTTGAGGTGGCGGTGAATCATAAAATTCCTGTGGAACGTCATCGACTACTGATGGAATATTGTCGCCAGCCGAAAGTCGCACATTTTGTCTAGCGGATACTGGTTTGTCTACAATAATACGCCGTAAAGAACCATTCACCATAGCAGTTGTTTCAACTGGAACAGTGCCGTTTACAACCCTAAATGATCCCGGTCGAATACCTGATCCATTTACTGCTCTATACGGAACTTGACCATTTTGAATTGTACCGTTTTCCCGTTTCATTTGATCTGCCATTGATGTTGCCTTAACAATGTCTAATGCGTCCTGATCAGAGGCACATACGAACCCATGGCACTCAAGAACTTTCCTTCCTTTTGCACGACGTGTAATCGCTGTGAAAATAGCTGGATTTTTGGCATTCTGAGCAGCTATTTCTGAATTTAAAGATACAAATTTGGCCATTACCTCCCCTGTCGGGGCATTTATTGCATTTACGGGCCTGACTGCAGCGCATACTGTCAATGAAGAAATCGGGAAAAATACAATCGTATCTGGATCATCAATATACTGAATTTGTAAACCGGTGTAAAGAACGGTAAGAGTTGAGTCTATACCTTGTAACTGAGCATGTTCACCTACCGGGTACCTATCCCTAAGTGGTTGTTGAACTGCTTCTAGTCCTTCTGTTGTCTCTAATGGCACTGAACTACCAATATATAATACACGTCGTTTTGCCAATGTTTGGGTCGGTTCTTCCCTTTGAATCACCATTTTACTCACTAAAATAAATATAAAATTCAGAATAAATATTTTGTAATGGCGGCTGTCATACAAGGAAACTGTTGGTGAAGTAATTTAATAGTTTAACGATAGGGTTAAAGAATTGAGTTACCTTTTCAATGCGACATTCCTGATCACAACATGGCAATTATTTCACTATTTCTAACTTCCACAGATTTCAAATTCACTTTATGGTTATTCCATTGGATCAATTAATGGGGAAACTAAATCCTATTTGGTTTTTAACAAACCAAAAAATGTCACTGTAACAATATGAAGAAAATTTGTCGAAATCGTTGAACCCAGACGTTCGTTCAACATTCATATGTAAAATATGGTGTCTGTTTATTCACGGACGACATGTTAAATTGTCTATTCAAAACCGGTTTTGAAGTCTTTTTAAAAATATGGCTTTACTGAAGCGAGACTTTTAAATAAACACCCAACGATTGAATGACAAATTAATATTTACCTTTTTATTAAGGTCAGTTAAGGGAAGACTTTCACATAGAAATTTTGTAAAATGAACAAACTATCGGACATCAATAATCATAGTTGTGTGTTGTTACTAGAAATCAATGAACTGCATGTCAATTTTATTATTGTTATTGACTGCTAAGACAATGGGATGCCTCAGGTAAATTGTATACACGTTGACTGTGTATAACACAAATTATTCAATTCATAGGTGTGAATTTAAAGTAGTATTGGGTTGCCTGTGAGCATTTAATTTTGACTTGGTATTTCCGGACGTATTCATCGGTAGCATTTATTAAGCTGTAGAAACCATGTCTCTTGGACTATTACACGAATCTTAATATATTAGTCCTAGATGCTACTTATCATAATTGATTGCTTGTTTTCTTCTTCTCCTGCCACTTGATTCTAAACGAAATGGTTACATATGGAAAATAAATTAAAATAGGAGAATTGTTACTTTAGCTTAGAAGTCGCGTCATGTTTTCGTGCTTTCCTTCTACTTTCCAGAAAATTACACTGATTAAATTTCGTTGCATTTTAACACATTGTGTAATAATAATGTTAATACACAGTGTAGATACTATTCTGTACGCTATCTGGAAGTCGCGATTTTCGAAGCGATGATTTCCAACTGGCTAACAGGACGGTTTTGCCTACGGTGACTTTTCTCATCATTTGTTTACTCCTATATCTATAAAGTGCTTTGAACATCTTCAAGGTATGTATTGCATCATAAATATGAGTAACTGTAACAAAAACATGCATAAGAATATAAAATATACGTGTGCATCACACCAACTTGATAGAAAAAAGTGAAATCGATGGACAATTTTGCTCTCGTAGTACAAAGCAAATAATCTTTTAATGCAAATATTTGCATCAGTTTACAGTTAAATATATACTGTTTCAATATTCTTTTCGTATTAAGTAGAATATTCGTATTTCCCATAAAAAAATATGTTTTCCTTGAGGATCCCAAAATAAATTACTGTACGATCAGTCTAGAACTGACTGTATTCTTGAAGCGATTTCAGATTTTTTGACTGTATGACCAGTCGTGATTTTGAAAAAGAAACAACGGCAATTTGAAGGTATATACGTGTCTATGTGATATTATGAACTGTCCAGGGAACTATAACGTGTAATTTCTTTCATCAGACAATACAAATATATTTCTGATGATTTTTGTAGACGGCATTTGTATGGGAACATATATTTGGAATCCCTTTTCTCCTGGATTGGACCCCCTCTCCATTTAAAAATGGCTGGAACCCACAATGTATATTAAGTGGTTTATGAGGAGATGCACTTACAAAACCAACGAAACATATTGTACCGATCCAACGGAAAGACGGACTTCATTATCACTATAAACCCCCGCTTTACAAAGTGGTGTACAATTGAGTGTCAAAGAGACAGCTCTACATCCAAAACAAAGTGAAGGAACTGTGATCAATTATAGGCTACAGTACGGCCTCGAATGTGTGTAAATACATGCATTTTTATATAACAATTAAATCTGTGTGTTTGTACAATTTTAAGTATAACGGAGGACATTTCTGAAACTTATATATACAACAAACCTTCCTCTTATTTTAGCAACATTTAAACATCCTTATACTTAATGTAGTAAGTCGAGTACACCCCATCAAGCTAAATAGATATAAGAAGATGTGGTATGAGTGCCAATGAGACAACTCTCCATCCAAGTCAAAATTTATAAAAGTAAACCATTATAGGTCACAGTACGGTCTTCAACACGGAGCCTTGGCTCACAACATGTTTCATAAGTTTTCAGGATGTGAATTTATTGAAATATATTTGTGTTATTTAGAAAAATGCCACCTTCTAATGTATCGTAAATAACTTTGAAATCACCACTAGAATACAGTGAAATAAAGACTGATCATACAGTTTCAAAATATACAAGCGAGACTGATCGTACAGTGAGAAATTCAAACAAGTGTAATTTTCTTATTTCTGACTTCAAAGATCTGGTTGAAACTTTTACCACCACTTGAAATATACTTCATTTAGTTAATTACGTCTGGTGTTTACGTTAATTTGTACACTAAGAGAGTAAAAAGATTGTTTTTAGGTTCACCGACTGATTTTCCTTAGTGATGCACTTGATGTAGAAAGCATTTTGCTGTTCCCTTTTAAGCTTTACAAAATGTAGCAGGAATGACTAAGAATCCAGTTATCATACTGAATCTTTTATTTCGGCCAAGAAAGACAACTCGAACTTAAAAAAAGAGAGGTGGCATAAGAAAACAGTTATTTCATAGTGCATCAATTTTATGTTAAGAGGGTCTCATAATTCAGTTTGACAGCTTTAGACATACTACTTTTTGACCTTATTTCAACCCACCAAATCACTACTTTATCTAAAAATTCATGACCTAATGTTTTTTTTATACATGTAATTTCATCCCCTTCTTACTATTTTATGTATAAAATATAGAGAAATAAATTTGGAAGGTGTATGAAACAAATTTTCAAGTTATAGACTGTCCACACTAGGGATTATATTTGTAAAATCAAAGAATGATATCTTGTAGAAGGTTTTCAGAATAGTTTAAATAATTTATCAAATTACTGTGAAAAATGGCAAAAAAAAACAAACAATGATCGTCCAACAAAGAACTATACAAAACTGGGACCATATATAACAAGTAAGGTTCAACAACGAAAACAATGAAAATGTTACTGAATATAAATTTCTGGGCACGTACCTTAATAAAAAATAATGGAAATCTAAATGCGAGCTTAACAGATTTAGCAAACAAATCTAGGAAGGCTCTTTTTTAAATTAAGTCACATGCAGCCTTTTGGGGAAATTTCCCTATTAATGTATCCGGTAATCTCTTTGATTCTCTTATTAAGCCAATTTTGACAATATAATGCAGAAATATCATACATGGATACATCATTCTTATTATAAAGCAAAGGCAGATTAAAATCCCAAAACAAAGATATAGATAAATTCTAATTTTTAGGGGTTAAAGCTGAACTTGGCAGACAACCAATAGAAAAATATGTAAAAAAATATAAATCCTTTATTTGAATAGATTAAATACAGAAAACATAAACTCATTACTAAAAGAAAGTTATACATTAAGTAAACACATTGACTCACAAGGAGTTTATACATGGTCCACTTTCATCAAAGATTCTTCACAAGAAATGAATATTGACATACAAAAAATAGTTTCCTGTCAAAATACGAAAGACGTAAAAAAACTAAAGACTTGTATTAAGAATATTTCAAGCAACTTTTATTCAGAATTACTTGAAAATAAGATAAGCAGTTTAAACGAAAATAACAAACCTTTTCTTTATAAAAGCATAAAAGTCAAACAAGACCAAGAATTTTATCTACGATATCCAAATTTTGAAACGACGTTATTTACAAAAATAAGAATCAGTGACCATAATTTACTTATAGAAAAGTGCAGATATCTGAATATACCTCGAAACCATAGAACATGTCTAACTTGTAAAACCATAGAAGATGAAAATCACTTTCTTCTCTACTGTCAAAATAATAAAATATTACGTATTAAACTTTTTAATGACATTGCAATAGATTTTCCGATATTTCCAAATCTGTCTGATACTGAAAAACTAGTAGTCCTGCTAAATCCTTCAAATATAAACCAAGTGAAAAAAACAGGTTCCCTTATAAAACAGTCTTTAGAGCTGAGGACAGGGGACTCTTAGTTATTTTTGCTTGTATATATATATATATAAACAAGTCTAAATTGAAAACAACGTTCAAATCTATGATTGCGTTGGATAAAAACCGCAATTTTCATACGTGTGCATGCACAACAAATTTCTTGGTAGAGGGGTCTAAATACAGCACAAATAACATTTTCCAAAAGACCAAAAAAGTGAAAAAGTATATTTTAACAAAACGCATTTGACTAGCAGGTCGAACAACTGATGTTCTTAAACCCTGCTGACTGCCATTGGCGATTGCCAAATAAACGAATCACCAGATGTAACAATATATATATATATATAATAAATTATACAATAATTGCAAATATTTCGGCTCAACAAATGGCCTTCCTCAGTGTTAAAAGTTTTAACAATACTGATATATAATGTATAAGGTGTAAACATAGATCAGTAATAATACAGGTAAGTTTTGGTCGATTGATTTTAATCCAAAATCCTGAATATCATAATATAAACATTAGACTGTAAATTTAATTATTTCTTTCATTTGATTCCATCTGGATGGAGGGACACCCAGTGTTTTTATCCAAAACTTCTCCCGATTCTCTCTTTGCCTATTTTGCCATGTACAATCCTGTTCGATCACAAGGATCTTCATGTGATCAAAATCTTTCAGATTGTGATCTGGTAACCTGAAGTGTTGGCTGACAGGAATATACGGTTTTTTTGTGAGGTCACTCCTGTGGCCATTAAGGCGTTTGTGAAATGGCTGCATAGATTCACCAACATATTGGAGACCACATATAGGACACTCAAGAACGTAAATCACGTTTGAGCTTTTGCAGTTGACATTGCAGAAGATCTTGTATGTCTTTTCTGTGGTCTTACTGTGAAATGTTGATGAATGCTGCAATTGGTTGCAACATTTGCAGCGCTTATCCCCACAAGGCTGGCAATTACCTACAGTATGGTTAGGTTTGGAAAGGTCAGCACGGACAAGTATATTTCTCAGGCTGTTAGGTTGTTTGAAGGCAATCATGGGAGGCTCAGGAAAGATTTTGGATAACTTAGAATGTTTCTCGATTGCTGTCCAATGATCACGAATGGTCTTGAAACTATTTCTCAGGCATGGATGGTAGGTGAGCACACATGGGATTCTTTTACTTTTCTGTTTTTCTTTGTAAGTTAGCAGACTGCTTCTGGG